TTCAGCTAGAAGCATCTGCCGAAAAGACCGATGCCGGTAGCGACAAAAACTGCGGGGAACTCTGCACAAAACGCATCTTCGCACGAGCAGCCCGTGCGTTGGCCAATTATTTCGATCTGTTAAGCATCTGCACCTAATTATCGGTTCATATTTTTGGCATCAGCCGCTTGTTTAATTCTGATGGCAAACTGGCACTACTGCACATCGTTGAGAGCAAAACCGCCAGAAACTTTCGTCACAATAATTTCTGGAAGAAATGCCACTATTTTCCTAGCGTGTGGTTGCTGTTGGCGGTGTGTTGTCAACCAGTCCACACTGCATTATTCCATCTCCCAGACAGATGAAAGAGAGAAACAGTATTGACTTCACATATTAAGGCCAGCGATTTGAATGCGGACAACTCATTTCTGTTCCGTATTTAAAGGATTTTAATTAATGTAAACGCTCATAAATTTGGCTTCGCTAATATGTAAAAACCCGGTTTGTATAACTGCGATATCATTTCGGGAGGAGTTAAAAACCAGTAACTTACCAAAAGTTTTGTGAACCGTAAAAGTCTACGTGTATCAGTGCTCGAAATTGCAGTTAATGCACTCTAACAAGGATTGACTGAACAGTAAACCAGAAACCGCAAGCAGCGAAAAAAGCATCGAAGAAAGCAGGTCTGCAGATTAACAAATCAAGAACTACGCAAAATTATGCTCGGCGAAAAACAAACCTTTTTTTGAATTTTCTTCAATAATTTTTCACTTTCCACAGCTTCAGTGGCTTTCTTCTCAGCAACCCGTTCAATCAGCTGCCTGTAAATGATTGCTTACATACGAAAACAAGTGCTGTTTTAACGCAGCCAATATAAACTGTGAAACACACGAAAATGGTCATACGATGGCGATGAGACACTTACTTTTGCCTTTCCCTGGCAGCTTCAGTTCGCTCTCTTTCCTGTTCGCTACGTTGAGCATCGAGTAATTCCTTCTTTTCAAATTTTTCTCGTATCTTTTCTATCCGTTGCTAAAAAAAATCGGGCTTCTTCCACTCTACACCGTTATATATGAACAACAAAAATACGACATTTGCTCTGATTGGTCTACGCTACTCCATTTTTATAGTTTTTTAGAGCAAAAAGTTGGAGAAAAGTGCAAGCTTCGCAAAGAAAAACCCTAATTTCAGCTTACAATTTTACTACACCAGATGCGTAGAAAATGCAAGCGAAAAGACGATGCTAGAGCTTTTGCGATGCCAAGCGCAATCATGCCTCTTCATTTCTGTAAATCCTTTAGCTCATATTCACTGTCTTTTTCAAAAATGCGTGTACTACTCCGATTTGAAATAACGATTTCAAGACAATACTAAAGTCAGACAGTCAGAAAGCTAACAGCCATCTCATCGATTCCGAATACTCAGCCACTGCGCCTCACCGCTGCTCTACTCGCTTCGAGAACTTCCAATTACTGTTTCTAACTCTACGGAATAGCGTACCGCCGCAACAATTCCTCACTAATCTTCAGAAAGCCGGTGAAACAATCAAGGAAAATCATCAAAAAAAACTAGTGAGCAAAGAATGAATACAGTTTCGGCAGTTTTCCGACGTTCTTCGGCGGCCGCTTCCTTGGCAGCTTTCTCTTCGCTTTTTTTAGCTCGCTCGCTGGCAATTGTCTGTGCGCGTTGCTCCCACTCCTGACATCGTGTCATTACAGAGTGCCGCATGTTCGCTGCTTCCACAGTATTGATGAACTGAACTTCCATCACCTGCAATGACTATGGTGGACGAATTACTTCGTGAAATACAGTTCGAAATGTAAAATCATAGAAATCGTGTATTTTTCTACACAGATATATAGAGAGAAGCTGCGCCAGACATTGGGCATCACTGCGCTCATAGGAAAAATGCTTTCGGCGAGATACGATGCTTGCCCTAATATCAACCAGTACGCCAAGTGCATCAGCGACGAGACACATGCGCGAAGTAAAAAGGACGATTGACGCCACCCAAAAGATAGTCCCACACAGAGATACTGTCTGAAGCCATGTAGCTCATGATCGAAACATCTCATTTCAAGAAATTATGAATACTGAGGTGCATCCCTACTCGGCTCATGGGCGTGCCCGAATACTAGTAATATTACATCTCCATAGAGACAATTACGGACTTACATGTAGTGTAGAACGGAGGGTATCGGAGCAAAAACCAATTACAGTTCGCAAAAAAACGGCGCATTTTTCCGAAAAAACTAGTGAAAAAGTGCATTCGTGTTGACTCAAACAAAAATAAAAATGCTTTGTGCTGTTTCTGTTTCTCTCCCAGCAAATATGAATTGTTTTCGAGAAATTCACAAGTACATACGGAGTGTTCTGTCCTGCGACTTTCTTCCGTTTTTTGCGTCTAAAAAACATTTTGCATTCATTTCGGAGCCAGCAAACAAAAAATAACAGATAACCGAAGCTCGAAGTCCTATACCTATGAGGGAAGCTACTGTTTCGACACTTACCCGCCCACAGCTGCCAATGCGTTTTCAGGACGCAAATCTCGTTGCGCTTTTTTCCAGCACTCATTTATCGACCGCTCAGACATCATCAACACATTAAACGGCTCAGGCGCCAACCTTAACATCATCTTCACGGGCCTTTTTCACAATTTCATTAATGCTTTTTTGACGATTCTCTTCAGCTTTCGCCATTCGCTTCTGCAGATGCTCAAGCTTCCGGTGATTTAACTCAATTCGCTTCCGTCGTATCTCATTCACCTAGAAAGTA